AAAGAAAGAAAGAAAATAGCAGTTACCTCCTGAGACCAAACAATCTGCAGGAGTAGACTACTCGGTCCAGGGCTCGAAGCCAACATGTCAGGGAACTGAAAGCAGGAGTTAGACTTCTATGCAGGCCGACTGCTGCGGCTTTCCTCCAAGGCTATGACAGGAAGGGCACCAGTTGTGGTTCCCAAGGGGCCCTGCTGCTGTAACTGAGCCAGAGCCTTCAGAGCCCATGCTTGCTGAAGTACCAGGACAGGCACTCAACAACATCAGAAGCCACAGAGATGATGAGAGGTGTTGGCTAGTGATAAAAGGCAGCCAAGACTCCATGCATCTGACAAGGAGGAAAGGGCCTCACTGAAGATGCCGTTCATATGGACCACTGTTTCCTAACTTCTCATTTTCTCTTATGTCTGGGAGGAGGTTGCTTAGGCTTCTGATATCGATGTGGCCAAAGCCAATGTAAATTATGGAACAGGCCAATCAAAGCTATGATTCTGGAAATGTGGAGGTTGTTTCTTCTGTCTGTGCCAGGATACTTGGGATCCAAATGACCAAACCAGCTAAGGCGTGGCACAACCTGTCCACCCCAGAATTCCTGGGGAAACAGCTAGAGTGTGGGTCTAATGTTACATGTTTGCAAATTCACTTGCAGTTAATGCAGATGAAGGTGGGCTAAGCAGACTCCAGCCCTCAAGCTAGGGTCTGACTCACAATGGGAACCAGGGAAGGAGGACTTCCCCAAGGGGGAAGATATAGATGTAGCTCCATGAGATAAGAAGAAGATGAAAGGGGACAGAGGATGGTCCAGGAGAAGTTCTTTGGGATTCCAGAAAGGCTCTGCCCTGTGGTAATCAAGGGATGAGCTAACCCCTCATGACTTACGCTGGTGGACCTCTAATGGTGCTCTGGACTGGGCTGTTGGAGACAACTCTTCTTTCTGAACCCAGGGATAATTCCTTCCTGGAATTATCCAGAAATGGGTAAGATTTGTTCTAAAGCCAGTCCACACCCTGGAGTCAAGGGTGTCATTAGGGGACCTTGTGTGCCCTAAAAACAAGAATCCTCCATGGGTCTCTTACAGGAACCAGACTTTTCTCAGGACATGGTTTTGAAAAATACAGTAACATCTCCCCATCTCAGTTTGCCACCCTGTGAGAGGGAGTTGTTGTTGAGTACCCGAGTCAGTTCTGACTTATAATGATCCTGTTATCAGGTTTCTGAGGAGTAGCTGGTGGGTTTGAACTGCCGACCTTGCAGGTATCATCCTACAGCATGATACCAGGACCAGTGACTTTATGTGGAGAAAGAGGGGAACCTGGCTTCCCCAAGACCCGGGCAGCACACATTGTTGGAGGAGGTGTGTGTTGGGGGCTCTGACATCCAGGGTAAAAAACACTCTCCATCTTCATGCCTACTAAAGGTAAACCAACCAGGTATGAATTTAATGGGAGGAATGTGACTTCCTGGATTTGTGTTTCTTTACCTCACAAAAAGAACTTTCCAGAGAACAAGGAACTTTCAGGATAAAAAGCTGCCATTTACATTAAAGTGCTCCTTGGATGTTGACAATCAAATGTCAGGATTAAGATCATCACAGAAGTCCCTGGGTGGCGCCAACGACTAAGCACTCGACTACTAATAGAAACCTTGGCCGTTCGGATACACTCAGAAGAAAGGTCACCTCCTTCTAAAAGTTTACCACAACCCTACTGCTGTCAAGCCAATTTCACCTCAAGGACCCTACATAAGGTTTCCAAGGCTGTAAATCCTTATGGAAGCAGACAATCCTATCTTTCTCCCACAGAGCAGCTGCTGGGTTTGAACTGCCGATCTTGTGGTTAGGAGTCTCCCTGGAGCAGTTCAACTCTGAAACACCTGAAGGCATCATGAACCGAAACACCTGGAGTATCATGAACAGAAACACCTGGAGGCGTCATGAACCAAAAATAACTCAACAGCAACAGTTGGAGGCTTCACTAAAGTCATGGCTCAGAAGGGGCACTTGGTTTAGGGGGTCTCAATCTTAGGGGCCTGGCAGATCACTCTCTGTCTTGGACAGTCCACAGCTGGTAGGTTTCCCAAGCTCTCATTCTAAAATAGCCCCTTTTTCTAAGCAAAGCCTTACTTCCGGTCAGTATAGTTCATCTGGTGCTGGCTTCTTTGTGCAAGTAATTCTATGAAAATTACCCAAATCGAAGCCTCCCGTATTCAGCCTACATGAACACAGAAATGCATACTTTACCTAGTTTAATATATATATAAACTGATTAGAACTTGTCCTGATACATAAAGGACACCGTACATGCATATATTGTTGTTACCGCCACTGCTATGATGATCATTGGTAAATAAACTATACAAAGTCTATTTGTCTCTATGTAAGCAAGTCCTGCCTCACACTCCAAAATGAAATCCTACATCAGTCTGTCTATAGCAGTGGACCTCAACTGCTGTTGCCCCCAGTGGACATTTGGCAATGTCTGGAGACATTTTTGATTTTCACACACTGTGTGAGGGCAGGGGGAGGGTGCTGCTTGCATAGCTGGTAGAGTGCGGAAACGGTGTTGTTGTTAGGTGCCATCGAGTTGGTAACGACTCACAGAGATGCTGCCGTTGTTGTTGTTATGTGCCGTGGAGTCGGCTCCAACTCATAACAACCCTACATTGGGTTTCCGAGGCTGTAAATCTTTACGCGAGCAGAAAGTCTCATCTTTCTCCCGAGGAACACCTGGTAGTTTCGAACTGATGACCTTAAGGTTCGCAACCCGATTTGTAACCACTAAGCTACCAGAGCTTCTATAATACACAGGGCAGCCCCTCACAACACACAACATCCAGGCCAAAGTGTCAATAATGTTGAGGTTGCAAACTCAGATCGGGAGTCAATAACCAATGCTGATAATCATAAACTGACCGTTGATTATCTGGGTCTCCTTCAACCACAGCCATGAAAGGAGGGGTGTAGCATATAAGGAAGCTGCTGAAACTGCTAACAGAAATGCTATGATATTAACAAGAGCTCTGCCCCCACCACTAAATGCCCCTCTTCCTATAATAGTGCCTAAGGCAAATGGGTCCATAGCAATCTATTAGGATGGACCATATGAAATCTCTGTTGTTTCAGGTACAAATTGGTACGAAGTTGGCGAACTCATAGGGTACAAGGTCTTCCCAATGTTTTGTTGTGCTCACAGAGCATTCAACTACCCAGGCAGCTGGAGCTGCGTTTCCCATCATTCTGACCAGCATTCAATCTTTGGTGACAATAACTAGATGCTGGAGGAACACCAATGGCTATACCACTTAGATCACACAAAGGAAACAGCATCCAAAATGACAATCCGGTCACAAATGGTCTATAATGGTGGGATAGTTTGGTGATCACCTGAAATGTCTTCCCTCAGACCATGCCCAAACCTTTACTAGTTAATGTGGACTCCACCATCAACCAGGTCATGAATCTGAGAGAGGAGAGGCCATGGGACCATTTCCTCATCTTCCTCCAACTCCAAACCTCTCCACTCCTGACCTGCCATGCCTCTAGCATGCCCAGCATGAAGTAAGCACCCTCACAGACAATTACTCTAGGCACCGTACCTGGAGAGGCAAAGGGTAGGAGGACGAGTATGTTGCGATGGTTGCTACTGATGGGCAGAAGCTCGGGTAGGTCAGGACTTGCTGGGAGGAATTGTAGAGGATCCGCGAAGGAGAGGAGGAGCCATAGGCCAGGGAGGACAGAGGGACCTGCCACAGAAGAAGGGATGTGTCAGTCAGCACCCAACAGCCGAGGAAGCTTTCAGCTTGCTTTTCTTGTCAAAGCCACAGCACAGCCTCATGCCCCATCCCCCTGCCTTTGAAAAATCACAACTTCAAGTCACTCAAGAAAAGTGGTTTCCAACTCACATTATGCGAACCACCATCCTATGAGAAAGCTGCATGGGGGAGATCACCAGCTGGTACAAATGAGTGTGCTCAGCTGCTAACGGAAAGGTTCGAGGTTTGAGTTCACCTAGAGACACCGTGGAAGGGCCCAGCGTCCATTTCAGAGAACAACCAGCCATTGGAAACCCTGTGAGCACAGTTCTGCTCAGACACACACGGACTCGCCATGAGTCTAAGGGACTTGATGGCAACTCACTAGACACCATTTAACAACATTTCCCCAAACCAGATTCAATGACACTTAACAACAGTAATATCCATGAGCTTCTATTTCCTGACTTGGAAAATGAGGGTGATTAGACAGGTCCTGCCAAACTCACAGAGAAAATGCACCTCAAAGTCCCTGTAGTAGAAAGAACAGTGTTATCACTTAAGACCGAGATGAGCAGGAACCTTCCAACTCACCATGTCCTTGAAGGCCCCCAGGACCGCTGCAGTGATGATGCCTAGGAACAAGGCAATGATGTTGAGCACCGTCGATGTCCACAGGAGCCGGTAAAGGTGGATCACATCCTGACAGGTGCTGACTCCCACGAACTCGTAGTAGCTTGGAGAGTGTTCTGGGCTGCACACGGTGAAAGAAAACAACACCTTGACCATCACTGCTATGGTCTGAATTATGTCCCCCAACCCTACAAAAGAAATGCTGATGTCTTGATTCCTAAACCTGCAAAACAGGATTTTAAAAAATCCTATTTTCTGAGCCTAAATACTTTCTGAGTCTGCTTGTAAATAGGATTTTAAAAAATATCACTGAGGTTATACCAGAGTCAGGTAGGTCCTAACCCTAATCCCTTCTGGGTCTTACAAACGAGCAGAACAGACATGGATACCTACAGATGTAAGAAATGCCCCATCTGCAGACCAAGGGAGGCCCAGACACTAGGGGTTAGAGCTAAAGCCCTAAACTTAGTTTTCTAGCTTCCAAAACTGTAGGACAAACATTTCTGTCCTTGATGGTCCCACTTTATAGCAACATTAAGTCTAACAAGGACGATAGCCCTTCATAGTTGAAAGTTATCATTAGATAACCTTACTGGAGAAGATATTGTATTTGGTAAGGTAGAGGGTTAGGGTTAGGGTAGCATTTCATTCTGTGCTTCAAATCTATCAGTTGCTCTTTGAAAAGCCTACATAGCGTCAGAGCCGACTCGATGACACTTAACAATAACACTGCCAATACAGGGCTGAAGAACTGAGTGTTAGACTCAAATAAAACCCTACTTCAGGGACCAGTTTCTCTGAATCATGAGGACCTGCATGTCAGTGTCCTTGGAGGGGTCCTTTGAGGGGTCTTCTTGGCTGTGGAGAGGCTGAGCATTTGGCAACCTTGGGGACTCTGGCGTGGCTGCAGTTCCTGAGACCACTGGCAGACAAACAAGCCCAGGGTCTCTGAGAAGGAAGGAGTCACTCCTCTCCTGGAAGTCAGGGAGATTGACTCCCATAGAGGCCAGGGCAGATGAAGCAGCGAGGTCCCTGAGATGACATTACCCAGAGGACACTCATGTTGCGGGTGGGAGCTTGGAGCAGACTGGATATAAAAGCTGACTTCTGAAGCTCACTTCAGCCCTGCCACCCTGGAGGAAAACCATGACTGGGTATGACAGCATGAAACAAGAGGGATCCAAGTATGGCCCCCAAGTTCCAGGACAGTTCTCCCTCAAAAGACCATGGTGGTCTGTTCAGAGCCTGGGCTAGGCCTGAAGACTCACATCAAAAGAGCCCTGAGGAACAAAGAAACATCCCAGAAGCCCAACCAGTGACCCACACACATACTCTTCCCCCATTTTGGGGTGGAAATAGGATTGCACTTCATAGGACAGAAATAAGATAGCACCTTATAGGCTAGAAATAGGACAGCACCTTATAGGTGCTGAAATACAGCTGAAACCTCCAGAGTCTCCAGTGATTTAGGAGTGGGAGACCCCATGAAGTCAGTATGAAACTTCTTGCTGGCATTACATGATATAGCATTACTATTCTGTCCAAACTCTTAATACAGTATTTAAAAGACAATTGATAATTCTATCTTGAATTTATAGAAACCAATCATCTTGGTTATATTTGAAACAAAGGTAGCACAACCAATTAACTTATTGTTGGCTAAATATTTTCTAGGAACCTACCCCATGCAGGCATTAAGGAGCTCTGGTAGCATAGTGGTCATGAATCCGGCTGCTAACTTCAAGGTCAGCAGTTCTGAACTACCAGCCATTCCGCAGGAGAAAGATGAGGCTTTCTGCTCCCGTAAAGATGTATAGCCTCGGAAACCCTGTACAGGGTTGCTATGAGTTGGAACCGGCTCCACGGCACATAACCATCAACCATCAACCTCCCCTATGCAGGCATTTGGCTTACAATGATGACGACGAACCTTCCTGAAGCATCAGCTGAATGTAGCAAGACTCAAATTTAAGTGTTAAGTGGTACACGATGTGGCTCAGCTGCCGAGGCAGCCAACAAGCGCTGTGAGGTGTGCTCAACCACCTGAGGAAGCCATTTTCCCTTCGAGTTGCTCTTGCCCCTAAAAGTAACCACCTGCTCTTCTCGTCCACTCACGGTCCTGCATTCATCACACTAAGTGCTAGTAGCTAAGGGCTTAGATTTGACTTCTAGAGTAGCTGCGGGCTAAGGAGGCTCTAAGGAGCGAGGTGACTCAGCTGAGCAGGAAAGAACCCCTTAGGAGAACATGTCCCGGGCTCAGCTAAATCAGCTGCCCTGGGGAATCAAGAAAACGCAGTAATGACACCAGAGCCTGCCGCCTGTGACAAGCTGGGCTGGACAGGAGAGATGTCAGGAGCCCTGAGATGGACACAAGCTGTCCCTGCGATTTACTGAGCATTTTATTCTCAGAGCGTCTCAGGCAGACCACACAGCAGGAAATGTATGAAAGAGCACCATCTTGAACTTCTAAGAGCCGTCCACTCTTGTTAAGTGAGTTCCGACTCACAGCGACTCTGATAGGGTTTCCGAGGAGCAGCTGGCGAGTTTACCCTACGGCGCCACACAGATTTTATAGAGTTCTGTAATTAGTTCAGTTCTGATTCATACTCATGAATCAGTGTGGGCATTCGAAAGAGACCCAATGCTTTCATTCTTCCTGTAATGTGAATTTTCTAGGGTTTTCTGGAGACAGTTCCCTAAACAAATCTTCCCCAAGGAATATAACATAGTCTTGAGACTAGCTGTTAATTAAAGAAAAAAATTAAAGTTAAAAAAAGTTGGGAGAAACCTGGAATTCGAGGGTCTCTCTCTTGCTGGGCTCCTCCGACTTTTAACGTGCTTTTGTGTCTTGGGGATCCCCAAGAGGAGAATATAGTAAGTAGCATTTCTCAGGAGTGGTCAGACAATACAATATGGGGCCATTGTGTTACGGAAACCTAGTAACATTCAAAATCATCACTTCTCATGGTGTGGTATTGTAGGGTTAGCACTGGACTGCTAGCCAAAAGGTCAGGGGTTCAAACCCATCAGTGCTCCTCGAATACCCTAGACAGGGCCACTATGAGTTGGAACCGACTTGACAGCACTTAATGACAACAACAACGTTCTTGAAGCCATAGGGAGGGAGGACTCTGGGCTCCTCCACCCAGAAGCCCACACGCTGCCCCTCCTGCTCAATGAAGTTTTCATTTTACCTGAAGTTGCAAATAACTCTTGGCAAGATCCACAGCAACTTCCAATTAAAATCCTTTACAACTCAAAGGGAATGAGTTGGTAAGGCAGCCTTTTGAAACATTCATTTATCTTTCTAAGACAGTGGGAAAAGGCTGTTGTACTAATCCCCTAGAATGGATTGGTTGAATTGTTTCCCCTCAAAATATGTGTTGTAAATCCTAACCCCTTTACCTGTGCTATAATCCTGGTGTGGTGCTGTAGGATAAGCACTGGACTACTAACTTTCAAGATCAGCAGTTCAAACCCACCAGTTGCTCCTCAGAAACCTTATAGAGGGTCACTGAATCAGAAGCAACTCAATGTCATTAACAATAACATTCCACCCAGCGGAGGAGACATTTCCCCAAACTATTTGGGGTTCCCTCCACCTGGACCACAAGGTCAGTATGAACAGCAAGATCAATGGTTCAAGTTTATCAGCCTGGAAACCCTATACACAGTGGTTGTTGTAGCTGTTAAGTACTATCGAGTCGGTTCTGAATCGTATCGACCCTGTATAGGGTTTCCCAGGAGCAGCTGATGAGCTTGAACCACAGACCTTGCAGTCCAGTGCATTAACCCACAGCACCACACCAGGTAGCTAGCTATAAGTTAGAACTGACTACGGCAGTTCACAACAGCAACCGTCCCCTTTCGGGGGGACTAAATCTAAGTTTGAAAGGGTTGGCTAGAATTAGAGTTTCCCAAGTGGTATACCCAGGTACACAGGTGAACCAAGAACAAGTAACAGGTGTGCCAATATAGGTGTGTCCCCGCCCCCACCCCACCCTGGCCCTCCTGGCCAAGCAGGATCCACATTGGCCAGTACCTTGAGACAAATAGCTTCTATATTCTCACCAGTGAGCTCAACAGTGTACACAATTGTTTTCTGTGCTGTCGCAACAAGGAAAACATCATGAACCATGAGTTTAGAGACTGTAGCATCCCTGTCTGAGAGGGGACAGTTTACTGCAGGGCAGGAGGGTCTACACAGTCTGGGTGGGAACAGGGGGCCACATGTCCATGAGGTAACCTGAACATGCAGTAAGCATGGTGGCCTCTCCCCTTTGGACATTCTGCCAGGCAGTGTGATGGGGCCACAAAGAGGTTGGGAGTCCCCAGGGTTAGCTCCCCTCCCCAACATTCACTAATGACACAACTGCTGGGGAGTCAGTTGCCCTGCACACCCCCACCACAGGTAGGTTCGCGTCCTAAACCCCAGTGACCTATGTGGAAATGGGGTCTTTGCAGAAGTAGTTTAACATGCAGTCACATGGGAGCAGAGTGGGCTCTAATCCAATTTGACTGGTTTCCTTACAAAAAAATGTAAAGCAGCAGAGACAGACAGACATACAGGGAAGACGCGTGTCGAGACAGAGGCAGAGACGGGAGTCATGTTGGCACGAGTCACGGAACGCCTGGGGACCAGAAGCTGGCAGACATGAGGGACGGTCTTGCCCTTGCCTTGAGGGAGAGCAGGCCCAGTCAGCACCTGGATTCAGACTTGTAGCCCCCAGGAACAGGAGACACACTGATAGCTTGGATCTAAGTCGCTAGGCTTGTGGTCATTTGCTAGCATAGCCTTAAGGACCGAATAGTCAGCTTGGAGGGATTGCCCAGCTTTACTGAGCTGCAGTTTCCTCATCTATAAAATGGAACCAGTAACTTTTCCTTACCTAAATGTTTGTGGATTAAATCAGGTGATGTGGCTATAACACATCAGGAAAGAAGGGAAAGAGAGAGGAAAAAAAAAAAAAAAAAACCTGCCTGATGCATAAAACGGGGCCCTGTGGTGCTGTAGGATAAGCACTGTTAAACGTAAGGTTGGCGGTTCAAGCCCACCAGCCACTCTGTGGGAGAAAGACAAGGTTTTCTGTTTCTGTAGAGTTATACAGGCTGGGAAAGAAACCCTATTATGGAAGTGTTACATTCCAGGGTCACATTGTCTGGGGGGCTCCCTCACTGTATCCCAGCCTATTCTCCACAAGGCTCTACAGAGAAGTTAATGTGAGGGAGACGACTGCTTCATTTGTTGTTAAGTGTGTGGAGTTGGTTTCGACTCAGCAACCCTGTACAGTGTTTTCAAGGATCAGCTGGTGGGTTTGAACCACTGACCCTGCAGTTAATAATCCACTATTCATCCTAGAGCGCCACCCCAGGACTCCGTGGCTGCTGACCCAGGGCTGTCCAAGTCTTGACAATAATGTGGAACAAGTACTCATTTTCAGGAGAAGCCTGGTGAGACTGCGTCCAGGGCAAATCCTACCCACGGCAGGTCCCTGGGCACTTACCTTCCACAGTGGTAGAGGTCACAGCAGTAGCAGGTGTTGCTCTTCACTTTCAACTGGCATTGGCCATTCAAGGATTGGCAGGTGACCTGTAAGCAGGGAGACCTGTTGTCCACCAAGCGAGCGCCCACCGCTTCAGCCCACGCACCCAAGTATTGGGCAGAGCAGCCTCTGATGCAGCTGAAAGGGATCCCACAGCCCCCTCGGGTCTGGAGAGGGAGCCTTGGCCCAGACACCCCGATTCTCGCTCTGGTTCCTGGGTGGGGCAGGGTCCACCTCTTCCAGGAGGAAGTTATCAGCTCAAACCAGGCCAAGGCTCAGCTAAGCAGAGGGGCGTCCAGGCAGCCAGCAGTTACTTGCTCTGGCCAGGCAAAGAATCACCCAGACATGAGACAGCTCCAGGGAGCCTCCGAGTTGACCAAGCAGACACGGTCTTGTTTTAACACGGTTTCTCTCCGGTGCCAGCTGTGCTCATATTGGAACTGAACATGTTTAGAGAAATTTTCCAATGGTAAAGGAATAAAAATGGGAAACACACACCCAACCTACCTCACTTGCTCAGAGTTATTTGATGTGAGGGAGATGTATGGTAAAGTTGACAGTGTGACCCTCCCCCCTACATCTGTGAAATAGGAAGGCCAGGCTTCATCACCCCCAGTTTAGAAATAAGGACATTAAGATTTAGAGAGGGTAAGAAGCTTCTCACGGCTTCGTGGGCACTGAATCAAGAGCTGGGCTGCTAACCCACATCTTCCAATTCTCAGTTCAGAGCTTCCCTCAGCATGGCCCTCAGTTACCAGCTGGAAAAGCAGGTCTGCTCAGAACTCTGGAAGGTCCAGAGGAGGCCCCCTTGAGGGTGTGGAGGGTCTCTGGGTGGACATCTGGTCCTACTTTAGTCACTCTTGACCTAAAACAACTTTACTTTTGTCTGCTTCACACATGGCCTTTCGCTCAAGGGTTCTGTGGCTAACATTTGAAAATCACCACCCTTGGCAATGGGGAGCCATTGCATTATGGGAATGAGGGTGGGGCCTGATGAAACTGTAGTAGAAAGATAAACCCAGTGAGGTTAGCACACACAATGGTCTAGAAGGAGAGGAGGCCAGAGACAGGACCAAGTATGAAATCTGATCTGATGAGGAAGAAACACAGGAGGGGAGTTACAGATAACCAACTGAAGGAACATCATCAGCAGATACAAAGGCAAGAGCGATGGCAAGAATAAAAGCAACATCATGGTTCTGACCCCAGAAATCAAGAAGTCAGAAGATCGATTGGCTCACAGAATGTTAAAGAGCAAAGACAAGAGGTCAAAACCCTTCATTTTCCCAGGCACGATAACTGAGCCCTAGGAAGACGAGGTGACTTGCTGACAGTCATGCAGAAAGTTGCAGAGCTGGAACATGAACCCAGGTCTTTGGATGATGTTATGGACAGAATAACGATGTACATTAAGTCTTACGTAAATTGAGCTGGTGGTCTGGAGAAATTATCCAAATGAGTATCTAATGGACCATTGGATTATCAAGGCTGGGGCTCAGAGAAAACTGTCATCAGGCACAGAGAGCTTTGGGAGGGGTTGAAAAGAAGCACAGAAAGCAATGACAAGCAGGAAGATGGACACTGTCCAATACCAAAAGGACGTCACTGAATCCGGCTCTCCCACAGGTGCTCGGTACTGAGAATGAGCCATCAAAGGGTTGAGTAAGAAAAGCACTTGTTGTTAAGTACCGTTGAATCCGTTCTGGCTCAGTGGCCTGGTACAGGGTTTCCAGGGAGCAGCTGGTAGGTTTGAACCACTAACTTGGTGATTCACAGTCTAGTGCTGATCTTGCAGCACCAAACCAGGAGTCCCCCCCCAAAAAAGCACTAGAAAGGCAGTTTTAGGATAGAGATGTTGTTGCTATTGTTAAGGGCCATCAAGTCAGTTATGCCTCACAGTGACCCTGTATAGGGCTTCCAAGGAGAAGCTGGTGGGTTTGAACTGCCAACCTTGTGGTTCGCAGTCCAATGCTGATCCTACAGCACCACACCAGGAGTCCGGGATAGTCAATGATATTTGGACTAGAGACAAATCAAGGGGAATCAGAAAATACCACTGAATTTGCAAACAAGAGGTCACTGGTGGCTTTTAAGAAGACATTTCTCTCATGTAGGTGTGGGGACAAGGCAGCCTGAGAGTGGAAAAGGAAAGAAAGAGAGGTGTGGAAAAGAAATAAACATGTTTTGCAAGAACTGAGAGAGAAAACACATCCAGAGAAGTAAGCAAAGCCCAAGCAACTTCTTCAAGACACGTAAAACAGTATGAGGGACAGGAACATGGACAAGGAGGCCTGGGAGGGCGGCAGGGAGGGGACTTGGAAGAAGGAGAGGGTGGGCTTGGCCTCTGGCACCGCAGGAACATTTTGTGCTTTGCAGATGGGTCCACAGACTTAGCTCGGGAGATAAGTGCCAGGTTCCTAATCCTGACCCCAAACAAGGCTCCATGATGCCAAGTTCCTGAGCATGCCCCCACCGCCTTGCTGCAGGCCTGCTAGCCAACGCTTCCCTGTGTCTTCTTCCAACCTGTAGAAACAAATGCTGTCTGCAGCTAGGATTCTCCCGGTCTCACCAGACGTGCTCCACCCTGGGGAACCCAGTGCAGCTCATGTCCTCCTAGCCTGGTGGTTGCTGCAGTTAACCCCTAGAGGTTCTGTACCTAGCCCTGTCAGGGGGCAGGAAGCTGCTTTTCGTGGAAGTCATTCAGCCCCTGGGTGAGAAGCTGGAGCCTGGAACAGTGGTCCTGAGGAGAAGTTTCTAAAGCTAAAATGTTTAAGACATGAGGGGTCTTTGCTGGTGGTGGTCAATAGCCTGTATGTTGTTGTTAAATGGCCTGTTTGTTGTTGTTGTTAAGCGTCTTCAAGTTGGTTCCAACTCATAGTGACCCTGTATAGTGTTTTTGAGGAGCGGCTGGTGGATTTGAACAGCTGACCTTGTGGTTAGCAGTCTCCTGCTATTCCAACAGCACCACACCAGGACAGGAAGCATCAAAAGCTACAGCAGACGACAGCAGTTTCAGTGAGGGTTTGTCAGACAGTAGCCACAAGCCACAGTCAGCCTGCTGCCTGTTTTTGTAAGCAAAGGCTTACTGGAACTCAGCCACACTCATTTGTTTACACACTCTCTGTGGCTGCTTTGCACTGAAAGCTACAAGTGAAGTGGTGTCTTACAGAAGCTGTAAGACGCACAAAGTACAAACTCTCTGGCCCTTTATAGAAAAAGCTTGCCAAGGTCTGTTTTACAGCAAGGGCCTTCAACCAGGGCCATGCAACCGCAGACTCACCTAGACCCACCTGGACAGTGAAAATCCCAATGAAATCAGAAAATCTGGGGGTGGGTCCAGGCCCTCATGTTCCTGTGAGACTGAGAACTCCCAGATGAGGGGCAGCCTGATTCTGTCTTGGAGCTTCATACGGTTTAGGCGGGAGTCTGTCCATGCCAGGTCTGAGGACAGACATGGAGGAGGTGAAGAACAAGGGCCTTCAAGGACTAGAGAGAAAGACCCCAGTCTCAGACTGGGGCTGAAAAACAAAAAGGAGCTGGCACACACACAGAAGGTGGCAGAGAAGCCTGGAGACCCTGCGGGGGTGAGAAGGGTGTGATTCACAGGAAGGACCTGCAGAGTCTGGCCCAGGTGGGTGGGCACATTTTACCTCTAACCATCTCTGAACTTGATGTGTCCTTCTGGCCAATCTGGCTGGAGGTCAAGGCAGGGACAGGGGGAAAACCTTGAGTCTCAAAGACTAGTTGCAAAAGAAATCTACCATCTTCCATGGAGTGGGGCAGACGAGTCTCCCAGACCTGCAGCAAAGGCTCTGGTCACAAAGTCTTCAGCATGGGGCCACCCTGGACACTCATGACCCCCACTCTACAATGTACAGATGATCTCTGCTTTGAAATGTGCCAGAGTGTGGAACCCTTCCAGAAGCTCTTGAGATATCTGAGAACTGACTGATGGGGGACTTCAGGCATCCCATTAACCGAGTGGGTTTGTTTATCAGTTTTCTTGACATGACTTTTTTTCTTCCATCTGTCCTTGGTATGAGAGGCCTGTGTTTATTTAAACTGATAAGTCTTCACAGAAGTAGAATTGTGGCCTCCGAATGAGTCAAAGAGAGTTGTGCGCCCTTGGGGATGGTCTAGAAGCTGTTGGTACATCAGTGCGTACTTTAGTAGCCCTGGCATTTTGATGCAGCTAGAAATAGAAATACAATCACAATTCAGATGTCCTTGGCCTATGGAAAGTGAAATTTCTTGGCCAACGTAAATGTATTATCCTAACTTTTTATTCTAATAATTAAGTCAGTAAATAATGCTAAGAGAAAAAGCCACACTGAACTGAACTAAATGGAGTCCAGGAAACTGTTTGTTATGTATCAAAGAAGGCATCTGAGCAACTGTACTTCAAAATAAATACAATATATTAAGATGTCAACACTAGCACAAAAATAAAGTCTGACCTGTATGTTTCTCACCGTGGCAAGGAGAGAAGAGATGACAGGAACAAGTATTAGAATAAAAACACTCAGATTTTGACTCAGGACACAGAAAAAAATGGTCAGATCCATAAAGTAAAAATCAAATAAACAGGTGTTTTACCTCTGTCTGGTAGACGTCATATAGGTATCCTACCCCACTTGAGTAGAATTGGCATCTTCCAGTGGTGAGTGGCCCCAGTTCCTAGAGGCAAATAAACAGACACACATGTAATTAAATAGTTCTATCTTCACACCAATAAACAACATTCTTATCAATGAAGAAAGATTGAAGTTGTCAAGGACTTCATTCTTCTGTGATCAACTATCAACACTCACGGAAGCAACGTATTGCTTTGGGCAAATCTGCTGCACAGGAACTTTTTAAAGTACTGAAGAGCAGAGATGTCAGCTTGAGGACTAAGGTGCACCTGACCCAATCCATGGTATTTTCAATAACCTCATATGGATGAGAAAGCTGGACGGTAAATAAGGAAGACCGTAGAAGAATTGATGCCTTTGAGTTGTGGTATTGGAGGAGAATACTAAAAGTGCCATGGACTGCCAAAAGAACCAATAGATCTAATTGGAAGAAGTGCAGCCAGAGTGCTCCTTGGAGGCCAGGATGACTAAGCTTCGTCTCTCATACTTTGGACATATTGTTGGAGAGAACAGTTGCTGGAGAAGGATGTCATGCTGGGTAAGATGGAGGGTCAGAAAAAAAGAGGAAGACCCCCAATGAGATGGATTGGCCAGTTGGCATCATTGATGGTGTTAAGTGTGGCAACAGTAGTGAGGTTGGCTCAGGATCGGACATTGTTTCGTTCTGCTGTGCATGGGGTCTCTATGAGTCGGTTCCGACTCAATGGCACCTGACAACAACAACAACATCTTCACATCAAGAGAGGCCAGAGGCAATTTTAGGACTTGTCCGCCACAGACTCTCAGCCTAACGGAATGGCGTCAACTTAGACCAGAGTATGCCAAACCAAGAATGCAAAGCAGGAAATACTATGGCTCATGACAAAGCAGCTGACCTCGTGTCATCTAGAAAACAGGTCAGCAGAACCCGCTGGGGGTACAATTATTCTGTCCTCACAGGTAGGGCTGACACATCTCATTCTACCTTCAGCCAACCTGCAGGAACTGAATGGAGATGCTGTATGGCTTTCCAGGTGCGCTCCTTTAATATCACTCTAAAGATGTCTCACCACTGGCCACTTCCTTGAAAGGTAGCAAGAAAAGGATTTCCGACTAACTAATTCACCCACCCAACTATCCAATCATCCATTCATCTACCTGTCCATCCATCTATGTATCCACCTGTGCATCCAAATCTTCATGCAACTATTCATCCATCCATCCATCCATCCATCCATCCATCCATCCATCCATCCATCCATCCATCCAACCATCCCAACATTTATGGAGTAAGCAAAATGTCAACTTATAATGATACCAAGGCAAGACATAGTTCCTGCCCTTGGGGAGTCTATAGGACAGTGAAGTAGACAGATCAATAAGCTGATAGTTGCAAAGTGCTCATAATTGTTAAAATAGAGGACAAGGATTACACAGAGATTTTAAGATGCCATAAAGCTGTATAATCTGTAAACTGTAATGATTTATTACCTCAATGACTTTTCCTTTTATTACTGTGTTAGCATTATTTCTAAACGTATTGCTATTTCTCCTGATCTAAGAAGACAGGGTAAATTTGAATAATAGTGGTATTCACTGATCTTCCTTGTAAGTGGACGGGTATTATCCTATCACAGACAGCACTGTGCTTTCAGACAGATCTTGACATGTTCCTTTTGATAATGAATGTTATACTATTCCTCTTGAATTTGTCATTTCCAGCATAATAAATCATATGATTGTCAGATTCAAAATGGTCAATACCAGTCCACTGAAGCTTACTAAAGCCTAGGATATCAATCTTTATGCGTTCCGTTTCATTTTGGACAACTCCCAATTTTCCTAGATTCATACTTCAAACAATTTTACTTTCTGATTATTAATGAATGTTTACAACTGTTTCTCCTCATTTTAAGGTGTGCCCCATCAGCAAATGAAGGTCCTGAAAGTGGTACAAGACTTTTTAAAAGTGTTTAACAGCAAAGACATGTTTCAGGACTAAAGTACACTTGATCCAAGTCATGGTGTTTTCCATTGCTTCATATGCACATGGATGTTGACAATGAATAAGGAAGATCATAGAAAAATTGATGCATTTGCGTTATGGTTTTGGAAGACAATATTCAAAGTACCATGGACTGCCAGAAGAACAAACAAATCTGTGTTGGGAGAGGTACAGCCAGAATGCTCCTGAGAAGCCAGGATGACTAGATTTCATCGCTCATAATTTCAGACATATTATCAGAAGGAACCAATTCCCGGAGAAAGACATTATGGTTGGCAAAGTGGAGGGTCAGTGAAAAAGAGGAAGTCCCCCAACGGAGATGGATTGACACCATGGCAGCAGTAATGGGTTCAACAGTGTCAACAGCTGTGAGGTTGGCCCAGGACCAGGCAGTGTTTTGTTCTGTTGGGCATGGGGTCATTATAAGTTGGAATCAACTCAGTGGCACCTAACAACAACAAGAGAAGGCATTAAACACCACCAACAAGAGAAGGCAATGGATGAGGAGGACCATTGGCCATTGGTGTAATCATGACTGTGTCTACTCTGTGCCAAGCCAAATTACAGGCAGATATGGCATGGGGTGGGAGCTGGGATGGCAGGGGGTGGGAGCAGACACTAGGATATGAGTAATCAACGTATAGCCTGACACATGGACTAAGAACTAGGTTGTTGTTAGATGCTGTCAAGTCAGTTCCAACTCATAGAGATCCTGCGCACAACAGTACCAAACAGGGCCCGGTTCTGTGCCGTCCTCCAATTGTTACACTTGAATCCATCATGGCTGCTACTGTGCCAATCCTTCTCATTGACAGTCTCCCTCTTTTGTGCTGACCATCCACTTCACCAACCATGCTGTCTTTCTCCAGAGACTGGTCCCTCCTGATGACATGTACGAAGGATGAAGGATGAAGAAGGAGCATGAGAACACTGTGGTGGAGCAGAGCAACATGGGAATTTTTCATTTTTAGAACTCTTTCAGGACACTGTAGGGTTCTGCAATACTAGGTCACAGCACTTCAATCAGCAGCAGGGGGAACCAATTCAATACCCAACGGATTTCTCAATAAAAAAGTTATGGTGGTTTTTGTGTTGACTCCAACACAAATAATTAGACTAAATTATTCATGCTAAGTCTACCACTCCCACTCTTGCCAGTGACTAGTTTAGGAAGGGACATGCTAGTTGAGGTGATTTTCAGGAAAACATATCATGGGTCTTCTGGAAAAGTTTTCTCTGCTGTTAAACATGAGACACAGCCCCTCAATTGTACTCCTGGCCTTGTCATATCTAGGTGTGGTCACATTGTCGTATCACCAATATGAGGATGAAATCAATAATGAAGGTGGGAGAACGGAGAGATGGAAAGAACATCGCTGAACACCTGTAGCAACCAGCCGTGGAGCCCGCATCCCTCTGGACTTCCTGTTACGTGAGTTTAGACATTTCTTTATGATTAGGGTCAAGTTGATTTGACTGTTGGATGTGTCAAAGTGATGGAGCAGACCTGCCAAAAACTCCTCTCCAGGGGGGATTGAGGGGCTGCCAGACAGGAACTGACTCAGGGGATGAAGCTCTGATAGTGTAGTGGTTACGAATCGGGCTGTGAACCGCAAGGTCAGCAGTTCAAAACTACCAGCAGTTCTGTGGGAGAAAGATGAGGCGTTCTGCTCCCGCAAAGATTTACAGCCTCAGAAACCCTGTGCAGGGTCGCTATGAGTCGGAACCGACTCCACGGCACTTACCAACAACAAGTATTCAAGTCCTGGTGTGGCGCTGTGGGTTAATGCACCAGACTGCAAAGCCATTTGAACTGCAAAATCAGTGCTTCAAGCTCAATAGCTGCTCCTTGGAAACTATACAGGATCGCTATGAGTCGCAACTGACTTGACAGCATTTAACAACAACAGTATTCAAGACAGTCTTTAAAAACACACATGAGGCGGAGCTGATGCAATGAAATACAGACGGGTCTCTTGTGATACAATAGTGAAAAATTGTTAATAGGACTGTTTGTGAGGGTTGGAAATGTATAGGTAAATGTTTTATAGCAAAGAGGGGAGTGATTAACTTTTCAGTCTAGGAGCGGAGGTCCCTAGGACCATCAAGGGAGAAGAGCAGAGAGCGGGACCCTACCCAGAGAAGCAATGATGCCTGAAATGGAGCCAGAGATGATGACGTGGAGCGATGGAGCAGCTGGAGACTTTAGAGCCAGAGAGGGAGAGCGACTGTGTGCTTGCTGAAGACCTGGGGGTGGGGGGTGGGTACAGGGGAAGGATTGCATGGAGGGGATTGTAACCATGGCAATGAAAGGATATACGATAGAATGAAAAACTAATGTTCTCCCATGTAAACTATCACATAATTCACAATAAAACATTAAAAAAAAAAAAAAACCACACACATGACTATTATTAATTCTGATCAATTATTAATCTATTATATATTATATTAATCTATTATATTAAATTATTAATTAGATCAAATACAAAAAGCTGCCAACAATGAGGAGCAGCTATATTTGGATATTCCAGAGAACACCCTATTGGTCCATTCTATAGATGGTATTATCCTGGTTAGACAGGGCTAGCAAGATACAGTCTAGAAGGTGGGAGATAAACCTTAAGAAGGTTTAGAAACCTGATACTTAGTAAACATTATAGGGACCCAGTGGACATCCCAGAACATCCCTTCACAAGACAAATTGCTGCATCTCACACTGCCTGCTAAAAAAGAAAGAAACAGAGTGATTAGGAGGCCTCTTTGGGTTCTGAAGCATCATCTTCCACATTTAGAATACTGCGTCAGTGATACAGAAAGTCATAAGCTATGAGTCGGTCCTGAACCAGGAAAGGGCTCTGGAGCGAAGTGTGGTAAAGGCAAACTTCTCACATTAGGACCCTGCAGATCCCGGGCTGTTGGAGGTGTCACTAGTAGAAAAAGATGTGGGCTAGAGTTTATGGAAAGCTCCAATGTGAAAATCACAGGTGGGGCCCCTGGAGTTTTGGAGCAAACTGCTGCCTTCTGTAGTGGAGAATGATGTGCCTTGTGAGAAAGAG